ACGAGCAAATTGAGAACGGAAGAGATATCAAACTCTTGCTAGGCACACATTCAAGCCCTGGTCTGCAGCCTCTCATGGAGTCAACATGCCCCAAATGCCAAATCTGTCTGCTCCTCTCAGTACCACGTGTGACATCTAGGCTGCCTTCTTGATGTGGAGCATGCAGGCCGTCACTGGCGTGGCTAGACATGAAGGAAAGCTCTCTAGGGCTTCTGCCTTTTTAAATGAATAGACAGACGATGGGTAGATGGATGTGTGTGTGTGTGTGTGTGTGTGTGTGTGTGTGTGTGTGTGAGAGAGAGAGAGAGAGAGAGAGAGAGAGAGAGAGAGAGAGGATAGTGTATGTGCATGTGTGCTTGTGCAGTGTACATATGGTGGCTGTTTGTGCATGTGTAAGTGTACACACTCTTGGACGTATGTACGGAAGACAGAGTAGGACATAGCATTCCTCTATTGCTCTCTACTGTCCACCGCTTTTGAGACAGGGTCTCTCACTGACCTTGAAGCTGCCTTTGTGGCTAGGCTGGCTGGCAGGCAAGCTATTGGGATTTCTGCCTGTCCCCAAATTCTGGGTGACAGACACATGGAGCACTGCTCTGCTTTTTATATGGGTGCCGAGGATTCAAACTCCGATCATCATATGATCATCATACTTACACACCAAGTGCCGTTACCACCCCAACCCCCCCCACCCCCCATCCCCCACCCCGCGCCGGCTGTACACCTAAGCCTTCTTCACAGCCTTCGTTAGTGGGAAAAAGAGGTACCATGACCTGTGATAGAAAGAATGCATCCCTTGAAGGTCAAGCTAGCGGGGCTTGCATTCTGACTTCTGTACTGAGTCATGGAAGGCCTTGGCTTCAAGATTCTCATCTGGGAAATGGGGACCCACTTTCAAGGGTAAAACCTGGGGTCCAACACTGTGTTTGGCTCTAACGAGAGCTTTGCACTTAGTTACGCTTGTAGAAGAACCTCTTCGGTCAAATGGAGGGTCTGTGAGCAGCAAAGTAAGACTGGACAGGTCAGCAGCCTCATGCAACAGGCACCGGGTACCTGGATGCACCCCAGGCCATGACCCTTGGCCACTTCCTTCCCCTTCATTCTGCTTCCCGCTTTGCCTGACCCATTCACTGATGGGATTTCACTTTCCTTTGACGGGAGGGCATTTTCTGTCTTCCGACCATCTGAATCTTAAGGCGGTTACCCAAATCTTCATTGTAGTCTGCCTTTGATGCCCTGGTTTCGCGTTCCCTTCCAAGTACACACCATGTGATGTGCTCTGACTCTTCCCGCCATTCCTTGTATCGAGTTCAGCCAACAAGAAAATGCCAGGAGGGTTTTCTACACTCCTCCCTTCCCTTCTTTACTCCAGAACAAGCCAACACAGTCCTTAATTGCTTGACTTCCAAAGCCACATTCAGTATTTCTGACATATGGTAGGGTGTTCAATGAGTTAATGGAGGAATGGTAGTTCAGTGGTTAGGGGCACTTGCTGCTCTTGCAGAGGACCTGGGTTTGGTTCCCAGAACCTACATGGAGACATTCAACAGTTCATAACTTCATTTAGAGGGGATCCTATGCCCTGTTCAGGCTTCCATGGGTGCCAAGCACACACATAGTGCACTTACATACACGCAGACAAAACACCGACACCTAAAATAGAGTAAACAAATCTTGATTTTAACAAGCGAATGACTGAGTAAATGGCTAGCAAGTAGCTCACGAGGCCCGAGTGCAAAGAGGCTCAGCCTTAGAGAGGAGGAGGTGAGTGGTAAGCCACACAGTTTGGAAGTGTGAGGCTGGGGAGACAGCTCAGTCAGTGAAGGGTTTGCCGTGCAGGCATGAGAACCTGAGCTTAATGCCCGGAGCCCTAATCAAAAGCTGAGGGGTTCACACCTGGAGCCCCACGGCTGGGAAGGTAGAAACAGAAGAATCCCAGGGACTTGCTGGGGAGCTCCAGGTTCAGTGAGAGAGCCCGTCTCGAGAAAACAAGGTGAAGAACGATGGGAGGGGTGTGAAGGAGGGAGTCTGACATTGACCTCTGGCCTCCCCACTTATGCACACACAGAAATATGGACAGACACAAACACACAGAAGGAAAAAGAAAAAGTGGGACAGGCTCAGTGGGAATGAGCATGAGCCTACTGTGCAGCCTTTCTGTCACGTGTCTCATGGGCATCACCTCATCTAAGACTCAGAAGAACCCGGATGTGCAAGTGGAAGCCGCTATCAAAATCAACTTGACTGATTACCTAGATACGTGGAGATGCTAACCCCATGACCCAACGTCACTGTCGCTTTGAATCCATCTCCCAATCCTCTTCTTACCAGCAGTGGGAGCTCCGGCAATTGACGGGGTTCTCAAGTCTTCATTACCTCATCTGTAAAACAGGTGTAATGCTGTTTCCAACTTTCCGGTCATGAGAATAAAGTGGAATAAAGCAACTCAGATGCTACAAGCCAAGCACAAGGTAAGACTTCTGTAGCTGAAGGAGAAGGAACTGTAGGGGTACCAGGGTGATGGTCCAGTGTGACATGGACTCTATTCTGGGAGTCTGAGAAAGGGAGTAGGACCTGGATTCAGATTCACAGAGAGGATTTAGCCAACTCATGAACACGATAGTTGCAATTCCCAGACACTACCACAAGGTGGGGCAGGGCTTTGGAGCTCGTGGTACCTGAACCCTCCTCCCGGGAAAATGGCTGGGTTAGGATGTGGAAAGAACCCTGGAGGAAATAGAGAAGTCCTCCTTTGATCTGCTAGAAAGGGCTGGCTACCAGATCTTTTGAGGAGGGGATTCATCCCTAGCATTTAAGACGGGCTCAGGAAAGCAAGATTAGCCGCAGAAAGAGCGTGTGCACGTGGGAAGAGAGCCACGATCCCTTTCCATCCAACTCAAGATGCTGGGACCCAATCACTGGCCGGCTCACTTCCATCTGGGGTGGAAGCAAATGGGTCACAGATCATGAAAAGGTCTACTTTATCTGCCTTTCATCTCGGACCTCTATTATAGGGGAGGTGACAAGAGAATATAAGAACCACTGTCCTGGACCCAAGCCTGGTGACCAGAGGATGAGAAGAAACAGTTTAAAAGTTAGTCATGGGAATGGAGAGATAGCTCAGAGGTTAAGAGCACTGACTGCTTTTCCAGAGGTCCTGAGTTCAATTCCCAGCAACCACATGGTGGCTCACAACCATCTGTAATGAGATCTGATGTGTGTGCAGGAAAACATGCTGTATATAACAAATAAATAAATCTTTTTAAAAAAAAAGTTAAAATCATGTTTTGAATAACCATGGACACAGGATTAGAGCTGGGGCAGAAGGCTGAACTGGGGGTGACAAGAGTAAAAAGCTTATGGCTTTGTAGTGAGGGTGGGATGGCTTCAAATTCCACTTCTATCCCTATAATCACGCAGCCTTGAGCAAGGAATACTGTATAGTGCTGACTGAATGGCTGTTTTGCAGGTTGAACAAGACAGTAACTGTGAAGGCCCTAGTGCGTTGCCAATAGTAACCATGGTAAATGTTCCAAGAAAGACAAGTGTGGCTGTCCTTTGTCGCATTCCCACAATAATGAAGAGGGTTTACTGCTCCATCAAGGTTAGAGTCTCATCTGTGTCCCGGGTGACTGAACTGGGTTCCTGATGAAATTTCAAGGCCCCCAGGAAAAGACTGCAGAGCACAAGCATGTGTTTTGACTTGAGTACAATTCCAGCTCGAATTCTAGCCCGAGAGTAGCTGGATCTAGTGGCTTGACCACTGGTCTGCAGTGAAACCGAGAGCCTACCAGTCTTCCAGCGCGGTGCGAGACAAAGCGACCTGGCATGCCTTGGCACAGTGTTTGCTGCAGGTGGCTTGGAGAGGCTGCCCTGGGTGACCCTCTGCTCTGTCTAAAACACGACTCTGGGAGAATGTGTTGACTTCTGACCAAACTGACCCTAGCCCTGGGCAGAAACACTGGCATGGAACAGAAGGGACAGTACAAGAAATCAACTTGGTTGAGTGCTTTTAGGCCATGTGGGTTTTGTTTTTTTTCAGGTTCACAAGACCATTTCCTGAGGGACAGGATGAAACTGATGGAAAAGTGACTCTTGACACTGAGGGAAGACGGAGAGAGAGAACGAGAAGTCACTAAGACAGATGCAAGGGAGGCAGAGGGCAAAGGTCTGTTTGAAGTATATTCTCTGGTCTCCAAAGTCCACCTTGGCCCCCTTGCCCTTTTGGCCTGGTGCATCTCTGTTCTCTCATCTGAAACATGAGGGTGATCCTGGACACAGCACCCGATAGAGGCTCGCAGTGAGGATTCTGGCTCCTCACGGGCGGTGACCCCGGAATCATGCACCCTCTGTGTGGCTCAGCTTCTCTGAGCGCAGACGGCTTCTAGGGTTGTTCCAGATAACCTCTGAGGATTGTTCCTCTTGGACACCTCTGCCACTTCTAAAGATCCCCCATCCTGACTCAACATTGTTTGGGGGTGGAGTGGCTGCTGAGTTTCGCTTCTCTCTCTCTCTCTCTCTCTCTCTCTCTCTCTCTCTCTCTCTCTCTCTCGTCCCCTCAACTGTGGGAACTTTCATGATGACAGGGTCCTGCAGAGGAGGTGACTGAGAAATTCAGGTGGATGCAGGTGAACGTGACTGTCCCTTATACGAAGGAGAGAATCTACTGGGAAATTGTTCTCCTTGGAAAAAAATCAGTCTTTCCATGGAGCTGCCTCCTCCATCACAAAACAGGAGGACGTGTTTGATCTTAGTCAGCCGCATTACCCTCTGCCCCAAAGAAGCCTTATCTAGCTCTATGATTAAATGTCTCGAGCACAGCTGTGGAGTTGGCTTGGCGGGGAAAGGCAACTGCTACCAAGGCAGCCTCACAGTGGAAGAGAAGAACTGACTCCCTCAAGATGGCCCCTGACTTCCATAAACATGAGCCACAGTACAGGTGTGCACGCACACACAAAACAAACAAACAAACAAACAAACAATAAGAATTGTTAGATGTCTCGGGCTGAAACTTGGAAATTACAAAGAGAACCCCAGTCTCGTCTTTGCCCATGAATCCCAGGGGATCATCAGGGGGCGTGTGCTGTTGTAGCAGGAGGAAGATGGGGGTGTTGGCTGGACTTTCTGTCTCACCATGATTCATTTTCGTCTCTTTGAGACCGGGTGCTTGTCATACAAGCAGAAGCAATTTGAATAACTAATATCCAACAAGCAAGGGTTGGTCTTTAACAGTGACGGACTCCTGCTACTGAGAGTGAGGTCTGTGAAGACAGGGTGGGTCTCTAGGAGTTGGGGTGATGCCTGTGTGGAGGTCCTGGGAAAATCCCAGAAGGCAGGGCTGTCAGGAGTCGCCTTCTGCAGCTGGTCACCCACGTTTCTTTGGAGAGTGCCTACGGTAGGAAGTGGCTCAGGTGCAGAGTGAGTGGCCTCAGGGGAGTGGCGGTGGGACCCAGAAGGAAACATCTGTCTGCAGACCTGGAAGAGAGGCCAAAACTCAGCTACTTGCCAAGGCAGAGAAGTTTCATCCAATAATCAGTCAACAAACATGTGCTGCACTCTAGAGATGGGGCTCTATCAACTTGGGAGCCACAACACTTCCCCCGTGAAATAGCCCCTGTCTAGGCGGGGCTTATGTACTATCGTCAGGGGGAAAGACCACACGCAAAATTAACTGATTCAATTCATATTTTGGCTGGTGGTGATAAATGTTTTAGAGGTAAGGAACAAAGCCAGGGCACAAAGCTAAAACACTGAGACAATAAGCAGAAGTTTTAATAAGGGCAGGAAGGAAGTCCTCATGGCCTACAGATTTGTAGACTTGAAGAGGGACCCATTCAGGCTACTAGGGAATAGGGCCCTGGGCCTGAGAAATGGCAGACGCAAAGGCCCAGGGGCAGATGTGTGTCTGTCGTGTTCGAAGATTAGCAAGGAGGCCATGGAACTGGAGTCCACACATCACACGGGCCTTTGCTCTCAGTGACTTGGGAGACCATTAGAATATTTATCAGCTGCACATGATCCAGCGTTGACTTAACATAGTCCTTCAGACTCCTGTGCCTTGCAGGTGGGAAGGGAGGAAGAAGGACCGCACATGATGGCAGATGATGTAGATATAACTGAAATGATGGGAAGGATGAGGGGCCGAGGACTAGCCAGACCTCAGCTTAGACCCAAGAAAGAGTCAGGAGGATTTATTAATGATGTGTTACAGGGAGGCAGACAAGATAGTTCGATGGCCAAAGATGCTTGCTGCCAAGGCTGACCCCTGGGACCCATCTGGCAGGAGGACAGAACCAACTCCTGGAGGTTGCTCTCTGACCTCCACAAGTGTGCTATGGCACGTGACCCCCAAACACACAAAAGGAAAAATAGATTTAATTAAAATTTTTGTAAGAATTTGCTTCAGGCGTGAGGATGGACTCCTCTATCTGGGAAAGAATCATCATTGGGACCAGCAAAGGCTGCATGAAAAACGCGTGTGTGAGGAAAGAAATAACAAGAAAGGGGATGGGGGTGCAAGTGGACACTTCTGAGGGTTTCAAAACTGTTACATACAAACATGCCAGCAGGCTGGGGGCCGAGGAGCTGGAGAGGTAGCTTGGTGTTAGTATCCGCTTAGCATGCGAGGGGTTCTGTCTCAGCACAAAAATAAATAAACAAACTAACTAACAAACAAAAGAGTGGTCCCCAGTGTGCTGCTCATGCAAGGCGACAAGAGGGCACTGGGGGAGGGGTGGGGATGGGGTTCTTTTTTTTTTTGACTAAGAACACCAGGCTGCAAGTCTCATCTTCTGCTTGCTCTCACCGAGGATTTGGGGCACGTTATCTATGGGCTTTGTGCTTCCACCTTGTCACCTTCAAAAATTGTTCTGTGCTTTGAAAAATGCAAAACCCAGAAGCAGAAGCTCAGCAGAAGGACACCAGACCCCAGCACAGAAGGGCGGGCTGAGCTGGAGTCTCTAGCCAGCTTCATGATGTCAGGTAAAAAACCTCCCGCCTCACTGGGTATTTCCTGGGGGCTTCTCAGCTCAAGCTTGGGTCCCCCGTGAGAGTTAAGTACACCCAGTGTTTATGACACATAGAGCGCCTGGCTCGCTGTGATGTGTTTACTTAATGTATGTGAGCACCTGTACAGGAATTCAGGTGGCCAGCAAGCCTGAAGACTTAAGTGACAGATTTTTACCTGGCAACGAATGTGACGTCAATTAGTGACTTCAATATGGGACACGGGCTCTGGCTGCCCTACACTCTGTAGGCTTTGAGCACCCAAGAAGTTGCTAAAAGATGAACATAATTAAAAGCTCAAAAAAAATCAAACGAAGCTTTCTTGAGATAAGGGACTCCATCTTGTTCTTTTGTTCTAATCTTCCACTGCAAGCCTGTTTTCTCAACCCTGTCTGAGAGGTGCTTAAGGAATAGATAGATTGGATCAAAGAAAGGGGCCTTAGAGGTCATTTTCCTCAACTGCCTTCATTAAAACCAAGAAAACCAGAGCCCAGAGAGGGCCATTTGCGTGGCCTGGTGACCCGGTGGGTGGGAGCCAATGGAGAGTTAGTATTTAGAGCTCCTGACTCTTGGGGTCAATGACTCTCCAGTGTACCCTCTCTGGGCTGAGGAATGAATGAAGCTAGGTAGCGGGAGGGGGGAGGAATCAAGACTTTTGGGAGTGGGAAGGGGTGGGGTGGACTTGGACCCCTTTGATGGGCTCACTGTATCTGACAAGAATGTGAGGGCTTCCTTGTGGGGACAGTCAGATAGAGCAGGGGTCTTGAATGGCCCCCTTGAGCTTCTGGGATTTCCCTGGGGCCTGCAGTGTTTGCACTGGTCTAGACATTTTCCACCGAACCTCCCGGCAAATATTTGAAGGCCCCGATACAATGCCACACAAATAACCCGTATCTAAAGCTCTCACGTGTAAACAGCCTGAAGTCCTTGGTCAGTCAGCAGGGATCAGAGAGAGAAAAAAAAAAAAACAAACTCACGCTGGCTTCTTCCTCAAAGCAGTCTTTCAAATAAAAACTCAAAAACAACCTAAAAAAATAAATAAATAAAGGTGAATTTTTGTTGTAGCTAAAGTCAGGTGTGGTGGGGGGGGGATGTTACTATTTATATGTGTGTGTGTGTGTGTGTGTGTGTGTGTGTGTGTGTGTGATAGAGAGAGAGAGTTTCGCTCCCCCTTGAGGCTGACTAGTGTCCACCACAGGCATAAGCTTCATGTCATCTGTCCCTTTGTCTGAAGATGCATACGTCCCCATTTCAGCTGGTAGGAATGAAGCAGCTATGAACAGGGATGAGCAAATGTCTCTTCTATGCGTTATTACATTTGCAATTTTTAAGATTTGTATTGTTTTGTTTATGTGTACGTGTGTATATCTCTCTTTCTGTGGATGTCCTGTGTGTGTGTGCATGTGTTGTGGGCTGGTATGAGGGGGACGTGCACATCCCTTCATGGAGGCCAGAGCTGTCAAACCCACTGGAGTTGGAAAGATGGCTGTGAACTGCCCGACATGAACGCTGGGATCCAAACCCTGCTGGCTACTCCGGAAGGACAGCAAGAGCTCTTGACCTCTGAGCTGTCTCTTCAGCCCTATATTTGTAATTTTTAAAGTTTTTGTTGTTGTTGTTGTTTGACTTGTTTTGTTTTAACAAGGGCTCGCGTAGACTAGAGAAGTCTTCTGTCATGAGCCAAGGAAACAATAGCGACAATGACAGGTTCAGAGCTCCGGACAGACTGGCTAGCTTGGAAGCGTCCAGAGGGCAGCAGTCTACCTCATGCCCAGCACCACGCCTGTCTCCTTGTAGGTACCTGATGAACACGCACTAGATCCCATTGTCCACGAGGACACCTCGGCTAGTGACAGCTCCCCAGATGAAACAAAAGGGACACAGGAGCAGTGGTGACAACAGAGGACAGGCTGGCACTGCGTACCCACTGCGTGACCACGGTCTTCAACTCTGGACCCCCATTGTGTCTTCTCGTTTCCTGACACTGTCCACCTGGAGCCTTGCGCGTGCTGGGCGAGCACTCTGCCATTAGGTACGTCTCCAGCTGTTGGCTGGTTTACTGTATTTGAGACAATTTCGCTAAGTTGTGCAGCCTAACCTCAAACTCACTCTGAAACTGACACAGGCACTGAGCTCATGATCCTCCTGCCTCCTGCCTCAGCTGGGATTATAGGCCTAAGCCACCTGGCCTAGTGACACTGCCTACTTCATATGCCACAAATTGTAAAATTTCACCTTTTCCTAATTCAGTTCCCCCTAATTCAGTCCAGGGTTCCATCAAATCCAAATAAGAAAATCTTATACAATGAGCACGAAGTATATTTTCATTTTATTATTTTATGCTTATTTTTGCATTATTTCCTTTCTATTTGTAGAGTCATTATACATCAATGGGACTTCTCTTATTGTCTTTCTAAACAAAGATCTAATTTCAAAGGTCCCAGGCGCCTGGAGCATGACTCTGTAGCTGCTGTGAAGTCTCAGGTCAAGCTTCTGGGAACCCAGTCACTGTTCCCCTCTCTGCAGACCAGGCAGCTTCTCTGCTCCATCGTGGCCAGCTCCAGGTGCACGGGGAAATTAATGAGGTGTGTGGGACAAGGATGGGAAAGGTCAAGTTCTCCATCGCTGCCGACACAACTGCCCAGAGAGGCCATGGGGGGGGGGGGGGGGGGGGGGGGGGGGGGGGGACTAGCTATAGGAGGAGACGTGTGCACCAGAAAGCAACGTCCATTCCATTAACCGGTGGTTCTGAGCTGGTGGAAAGAGGCCAAGGTCCAGCCTATAGACTGTGACCGTGTTCCTGCAAAGATGAGGGCTCCGCGATGAGCGCTCCGTGCAAAGGCTGGCCTGAAAGGGGGCAGTGGCACCTAGAGGCATCTCTCCCCTTCCCTCCCCTTCCCCTCCCCTCCTGTCCCTTCTCCCCTCCCCTCCTGTCTCCCCTTCCTTCCCCTCTCCCCTCCCCTCTCCTCCTCTCCTTTTCTCTCCCCTCCTCTCTTCTTCCCCTCCCTCTTTTCTCCTCATTCTCTCCCTTTCTCCTACTCTCTCCCTCCGTTCTCCTCTCCCTCCCTCCATCTTTCTCCTCTTTTCCTTCCTTTTAATCCTTTCACTTTCTTCCTTTATCTCTCACTTTTGTCTTTCTCAATGTCTTCCTCCCCCTCCCTGCTTCTCTTACCTCATATTGTTAAGCAATTCCACATACACACACACACACACACACACTTTTTTTTTAATCCCTTCAGATCTTACAAGATTCTTGAGAAGCAGCTATCTGATAACTTCTATCTAGGTTTCTTTGTTTATCAAAAAGTAAAACAAGGAACTGGAGAGTTGGCTCAGTGGTTAAGAGCACTGGCTGCTCTTGCAGAGGACCCAGGTTCAGTTCCCAGAACCAGCATGGTAGCTCACAACTACGGTTCTCGGATGCCCTTTTCTGACCTCCTGGGGTACCAGGCAATCAGGTGATATACTTACACGTAAACAAATACTTCAGCACAATAAAATAAATAAAATAAAATGTCTCTGAAAGTAAAAGAAAATTTGGCCAAAATGTCATGGCACTTGTGTGTGAGATTGAAGCCCATTGCTTTGTGTGCCGGCCTGGAAAAGGTGAGTATCAGTAACACCAAGCTTGGCCAGTGTCGTGCATGGGACTGGGGTCCCCAAGCTGGAGTGTGCACAGTGACGTGCAGAAGAGATGGGAAGACTCGTGCCTCCTCATGCTCGCCAAGGCCTTTATTTTTGCGTTAGTTTTACACGTAAAGGACGGTGCGGTGGCATGTGACACGGGTTAATGAGTAGCAAGGCCAGGGAAGGGCGCCCAGATGGCCTCTCCTTTCTCGCTGCACCTGCTCTGCCGACGACAGAGCTTCGCCACCGCCTGCCTGAGGAAGGGCAGGAGGTCCCTGGATACTCGACGTCTAAGAAGACCCTGGGTCCCTCAGTTTTTAGTGTTTTATGATGACTTTGTGTGTGTGTGTGTGTGTGTGTGTGTGTGTGTGTGTGGTGTGCGTACACCTGTGCGCTTGTGTGTGGGGTGTGTGAGCCTGTGGAGGCTAGAGTTTGCTGTCAGCTGACTTCCTCTCACACTCTTATTTGATATTGAGACAAAGTGTCTCATTGGCCCGGGAGTTCAGCTACTGGAGTTCAGCGACTGGCTAGGCTGGCTGGCTAGTGGGCTCCCCCGACATGTGATGACAGACACCCACCTCCAAATCCAGAGTTTTACATGGGTGCTGGGGATCAAAATTCAGGGCCTTAGGCTTGTGCACTTTACCATCAGAACCATTGCTGCACCCCATTTTAAAGATGGAAACACTGAGGCTCTGAGACATTAAATAATGTTTCCACATGAAGTTATAGAATCTGAACTCTAAATCCTGATTTTTGTTTGGTTTGGTTTGGTTTTGTTGTTGTTGTTGTTTTTGTTTTTTTGAGGCAGAGTTTCTCTGTGTAGCTTTGGAGTCCATCCTAGAACTTGCTTTGCAGACCAGGCTGGCCTCGAAATCACTGAGCTCGGCCTGCCTCTGCCTCCTGAGTGCTGGGATTAAAAGTGTGTGCCAAATCCTGATATTTTTGACTCCAGAGAAAGAAGCAGAAATCACTTCCCTATTCTGTCGTCCTAATTTTGTAGGAAGGACCACAGGACATTGTAAGGCTCACCTAAGATAATGGTGTAAATCTTAGCACACTGACGGAAGCGCGTGACAGTCACTACTACAGTTACTTCTGGTGTAACGGACTCGTGTAACCCAGGCTAACCTCAAACTCTATGTAGCCAAGGCTGGCCTTGAACTCCTGATTTTACAGGTGTGTGCTGCCAGGCCCAGCCTGAATGAGGAAATCACAGGCCTGGCAGCCAGGGTCGGACAATAGCAGCTCTGTCCTAAGTTTCCAGTGTCTCCCTTGTCCACACAGTCAGCTGACTCCACACCTGTCCTCTCCTTGCTTTCTTTCCCCTTGCTTCAGGGTCTTTCCAGAACTCTGCTGCTTCCCCCAGTGTGCATGTGTGTGTATTCACTTGCATGTGTGGGCACATGTGTGTATATGTGTGTGTATATATATGTATATACACATATATACAACATACGTGCATGTGGTGCATGTGTGCCAGTGGTACATGTATGTGTGTGCTCACGTGTGTGTACATGAATTCCTGTGTGCATGTGTGTGTGCAGGCGCATTCCCATATGTGCGTGTACATGTTGAGGACAGAGGCTGATGTCAAGTGTCTTCCTCTATTCTCTACAATAAAGAATATTTTTATTTATTTTTGAAACAGAATCTCTCATTGAACCTAGGGCCCACCTTAGACAAGACAGACTGCCCAGCAAGCCCTGCTGACCTCCTTTCTCCACTTCTCCAGCATCAGAATTACAGGCAACAATTCCAAAGCTGGAGTTTGGGTTCAGGTCCTGATGTTGTCAAAGCAATTACTCATTGACTGAGCCATCTCCCACGTCCTGCTTCCACGAGTTTTATTAAGATTTGCGTCTATTTATTGATTGTGCCAGGCAGTTAACATGTAGCATGCACCCTGCTGACTTTTATAGTGTCTCTTTCATAGAAGAAGCCGAGGTTCAGAGTGGCAAGCTACTCAGAGGCACGTCTAGGAGGCGGCAGAGACAGGTTTCAAATCCAGATTGTCTGGTGCCAACCTGGCTTCTCTGTGGCACCTGCCTCTTGGCTGGTGTGGAAACTGAGGCTAGGAGAAACTGCTTTTGAATCCCTGCAACTCACTCGCATGCTTTTAATCCCAGCACTTGGGAGGCGGAGGCAGACAGATCTCTGAGTTCGGAGTTCAAGGCTAGTCTGAGCTACACAGAGAAGCCTCATCTCAAAAAATATAAATTAATTAATTAACTAATTAATTAAATTAAAAGAAAGAAAAAAACTAGAAAAAGGAATAATACTGTCCTGATGTCAACTACGGGGAGTAAAAGGATGCTTGATGCACATTGAAAAGGCTGCTTGCTCCCACCTAGCAGTAGAAAAGGTCCACATGTCTGTATCCCTCATTCCAGCTCATTACAGCAGAAATTGGCTCTGATTTGTCCCAATAATGCCAGACCCCTAACGCCCTGCCCTGCATGTGACTCTCAGGCTTGGGAAATGCTTGCTTCCCTGACTCAGCATCCCCAGAAGCTCTTTACCCCCAGGAGCTGAGTCTGCATCTGGTCACGAGGGCACAAGAGGGTACCTACTCATCCCTTAGTGCAAGGCTGAGTGGCCACACTTGTGTGTGCAGGGGACGAGTCGTGGTGGCCAGAACCCTCAAGGGGCACCGTAGACAGAGTATAGAGGTAGGGCCCACTGCTCAGAACTAAGAACTCCAGGGTGGAAAGAGGATAGTTCTCTGAGGGAGAAACAGGGTAATGCCGAGAAGGTGGAGATGCCAGCAGGTTTATAGAATGGGCCATTTCCTGGCACATATTTTAGAGAGAAATAAAAAGAGCTATTTCTTGAGCATGGTATCAGAGGTGAAATGGGCATTTCTTGTGTCTTATTCAGAGACCTCGTTCCTACACCTAGGCTGTGCCTTGTCAACCTCTCATATAGACAATGCCATTAGAAAAGAAATACTTAACGGGTCACTGATGGTCCTGAGTTCTAATCGCAGGTTCCAATCCCTGTCCATGTGTAGGGTCTTGGGTCAAATCTCACCCTCTTAGGGCTTCCGTTCCCTCTCTATTAAAGTGAGAATGGTATGGGCAGCTTTATAAGTTTATGAGAAGGAAAAATGTGGGGTGACAAAACAATCCACCTCATGAGAACATTTTTATTTATTTTTTAATTTTTTTATTTTTTGGATTTTTGAGATAGGGTTTCTCTGTAGCTTTTGGTGTCTGTCCTGGAACTAGCTCTTGTAGACCACGCAGGCCTCGGACTCACAGAGATCCACCTGCCTCTGCCTCCTGAGTGCTGGGATTAAAGGTGTGTGCCACCGCCGCCTGGCGTGAATATTTTTATTATGTTTTATTGTGTGTGAGTGTGTCCATGTGTGCGTGCCTCTGTGTGTGTGTGTGTGTGTGTGTGTGTGTGTGTGTGTGTGTGTGTGTGTTGGGACATACATGTGTCACAGCCTGATAATGGAGGTCAGAAGTCAGCCTGCAGGAGGCAGCTTTCTCCTTTCACTCTGTGGGTCCCTGGGATCAAATTCATGTCGTCAGGCGTTGTGGCTGGTGCTTTTACCCACTGAGCCATCTCACCAGCCCAGAACTTACCTTATTTGCTATGTGATTTGGCTTATATGCATTTTAAAAATAATTTATTTATTCTTATTTTTTGTGCGTTGGTGTTTTGCTTGCATGTCTGTATGAGGGTGTCAGGCCCCTGGAACTGGAGTTTGTGAACTGCCGTGTGGTTGCTGGGAATTGAACCCAGGTCCTCTGCAAGAGCAGCCAGAGCTCTTAACTGTTGAGCCATTTCTCCAGACCCCAGCTTATATGTATTTTTATAAACTTTAATATTAAAAACTTGCAAATGAAAATATATGGAAATCACATCCCACTTGGTGTCTGAAGGCCATCTGCCTGTGACATCTGTCCCCCGCTGATTGCCAGACTTGAGTGGCTGATCTGGCTGTCTAGGCAGCTGTCCCTTCCTCCCTCATCAATGTGCTTCCTGCGTCCAGACTTCCCCTACCAGGGAATAAGTTGTAGGTCAAGGGTAGATGAGTAGGGGCATTTGCCTGCTAAAACCTCCAAGCAAGCTCTCAGAACTTGTTTTAATTTAATCTGAGGGCAGATTCCAAGAAATGTCAATAGAAAAAAATGTCTTTTTTTCCTGTACACTTTGGTCTAGCTCGTATCATTTCCTCATAAACATCGATTCCATGCCTACTGTAGGGGGAGCCCGCAATATATTCCATAAACTCCCGAGGACCATCCACTGTGCTGTGTGCCCCTCACCAGTCTCACCTCTCCCAGGTGCTGCAGAGGAAGGAAGCAGCGTGGGCTATTCTTCTGCAATGAAGGTTCTCAATGCTAGGTGTAGTATTTATTAGTTTAATATCACACTAGGCTGCCAGTTTTTAACTTAATCTTTTACAAGCTGCTGGAAACACCCTATTTCTAAAAATGTCCCAGCAGAGGATGTGGGTTGTTGAATCAAAAGACAAGAACTATCTGCCCTTAGGAGTTTCCCTGGTTAAGAGATCTCATAGCAGCAGGTTTGGGGAAGAAGGGCTTGGAGCTGGAAGTGACGTCCAGAAAGGCAAGGACTTGGGATTTGGTGATTCCTTCAGAGGGCTTCATATAGTGAATACATCACACAGTGGTAGCCAGTTTACCTGTAGGCTGAATAGTTAGGAAGGAGAAAGGGAGGGAGGGAGAGAGAGAGGGAGGGAGGGACGGAGGGACGGATGGACAGACGGACAGATGGACAGACAGACGGACGGATGGACGGACGGAGGGACAGACGGAGGGAGGGTCGGAGGAACTCATCAGCCATGTGTAATGACTGAACAGGCACTTGATTTGGGTCCTGCTTGTGCTGATACATTTAAGATATTTTTTTTCTGAGCTAAGTCCTTTAACTCTTCCAACAACCTAACGAGGCAGAAGCGCCTCTGTCACCACCGTTGCCCGAGCTCACGGTGGGTCTAAAAACTAGAAGAAACAGAGAAAGTTGTCCAAGGTCAAACTAGGCATTCCCAGAAAGCAGCTGCTCCAAGCTTGACTCCAAGTCCTCCTAATGTCCTGGCTTTTATCTCTCGGGGAAAGTCATTTCTTCTCCCAAATAAAACATCTTCTTATTTCTTTACTTCTTTCCCCAGGAGGGAACAAAGGACATAAGACCACTTCTAAGGTAACTATGTATCTACAGGTTTTTGCCTGCAGAAGTGATTTGCCCAGGGATTGATGAAGTGTGACCCATGGAGCACATATACTGTCAGCCAGCTTCTTTTTTAATAAAGTTTTCGTGGAACAGCCATAGGTCTTCATTTTTTTTTTTTTGCATTGTATGCAACAGAATCAAGTAGTTGTCACAGAGACTTGAGGGCCCACAGAGCCTAAAATATTTACTATCTATTTCTTTATGGAAAAAGAGTGTTGACTGTTAGAACATACTAACATCTAGGGTTTTGCTTGGCTTGGTTCTGATTTTTGTTTTGTTTTGTTTTTAGCTTTTCAAGACAGGGTTTCTTTGTGTAACTGTCCTGGCTGTCCTGGAACTTACTTTGTAGACCAGGGTGGCCTCAAAGTCACAGAGATCCCCTTGCCTCTGCCTCCCAAGTGCTGAGATTAAAGATGTGCACCACCACTGCTTGGCTTTGGTTTTGATTTTTTTTAAATGTTTATTTACTTATTATGTATACAATATTCTGTCTGCATGTATGCCTGCAGGCCAGAAGAGGGTACCAGACCTCATTACAGATGGTTGTGAGCCACCATGTGTTTGCTGGGAATTGAACTCAGGACCTTTGAAAGAGCAGGCTGTGCTCTTAACCACTGAGCCATCTCTCCAGCCCTGGTTCTGATTCATGTCTAGTTCACGTCTGGTTCACGTCTAGACTGACGTGAAACTCCTGCTTAGTCTGCTGAGGCTAGAGGCATGTGTTGCCCCATCTTGCCAGCCTATCGATTTTAATGATAATGAGTTATATATGTGGTAAATAGAAAACATTCGAAGCTGGTACTCAGGAGGCAGAGAGAGGCAGATCTCTGAACTTGAGGCCAACCTGTCTACAAAGTGAGTTCCAGGACAACCAGGGCTACACAGAAAAACCCTGACTCAAAAAACAAAAGAGGAAGAGAGAGAGGAAGAGAGAGAGAGAGAGAGAGAGAGAGAGAGAGAGAGAGAGAGAGAGAGATTCTAGAAGACCATATACCAACTGTAAACAATTGGTGGGTAAGTTAATGACCATCATTGCTTACATTTGATACATTGGAATTGTTTCCATGTTGTTGTTTGAGACAGGATATCCTACAGCTCAGGCAAGCCCTGAACTCTCCCAAACTGGCCTTGAACTCCCGATGCTCCAGCTTCTACTTCCCAAGTGCCCCCATACACAACTTTGGAATAGATTTGATTTTTCTAATTAAGTTGTAACTTGCGTACAGGGATATGCATAAATACACAGAGAAATATGCACAGCTCCTACAGATGCATACCGAGTCCATCAAAACATAGGACCGCTTTTAATCCCAGCGTAAGGGAAACAGAGGCAGAAGGATCCCTAGATGTTTCAAGGCCAGCCTGGCCTACTTAGCGAGTTCCAGGCCAAAAAAACAAAGCTGTAGACTCAAGAGATGCTGCAGCATTTAAAAGCACTTGTTGCTCTTGCAGGAGACCCGGCTTGATTCTGCACAGCCAAATGGTGGCTCACAACTATTTGTAACTACTGTTAGAGGAGATCTGTTGCCCACTTCTGGCCCTATAAGTACCAATTAAAATGCTTTTACACATAAAATAAATGTTCTTTTTTTTTTTCCGCAACAGGGTTTCTTTGTAGCTTTGGAGCCTGTCCTAGAAACTAGCTCTTGTCGATCAGGCTGGCCTTGAACTCACAGAGATCCTCCTGCCTCTGCCTTCCGACTGCTGGGATTAAAGGCATGCGCCACCACCAGGCAAAAATAAATATTTTTTTTTAATTGGAGACTGGAGAGATGGTTCAGTATTTAAGAGTACCTGCTGCTCTTGCAGAGGACCTGGATTCAGTTCCAGTACCCACATGGGGGCTCACAACCACTTGTTAACTCCAGTTCTGGGTCTGGTATCAGATGTCCTCTTCTGGCATCCCTCGACACTGCATGTAAATGGTGCACAGACATTCAGGCACACATATACACATTAAAAATAAAAAAAAAAAAACACGGAGAGATGGCTCAGTGGTTAAGAACACTGGCTGCTCTTCCAGAGGACACAGGTTCCCTGTTCTAATCCTAGCACCCGCATGACAGCTCACATCCATTTGTAACTCCAGTACCAGGGGATTGATGCCCTTGTTCTGGCCTCCATGGTCACCAGGCACACACATGGTACGCAGACATACGTGCAAGAAAAACACTCCTAGACATAAAATGACAAATAAGTTAATTTTAAATCCAAAACAATAAAAATGAGTTATTTAATAGAAGTAAATAAGCAAGCATTAAAAAAAAACCAACATAGAACCTTCCTACTACACCAGTAACCTGTACCACTCTGGGTTTTCTTTCCTACTTAACAGAATACAAATGGACCACATAGCTTCTATCTGTTTGTGCCTACGAGTGTTGTTAATTTCATTGCTGATGGCCAGGAGAATTCAGCAAGTCACCAGAATCACTCTTCAGAGTACCATCCGAGATGCCCACTTGCTCATTCACTCCACAGATACCTCGCTGAGCAACTGTAAATCTCAGCAGCTCCCCAGGCCTTGGTGCGTAAGAGGCCAGAGGGCCCCCTTCCTCCAGATCGTATTCTCTGTGGTATAATTTCTCATGGGCCACTGAGAAATGTCTCCTACTATACAGAGGACTGCCCAAAGATCAGGAAGTGGACATCTCAGAAATTGAAGGCCTTTAAGGAATTTCGTATCATAGAACCTAAGTGGTCCCTCAACACCCCACCAGCTACCCCCCCCACACACAATACTTAAATAAATCACAATGCTAAATCTTCATCATGATGCACTCAGTCTGTGACTTCAAAGACTGTCCTCCATCCCTGTGGTGTGGTCTCCTATTTCCCTCCCTTAGGACCCCCGCCCCCTCACCTTCTCTTCTCTGAAAGCAATGAAGACTAGGGAGACTTCTTGTTCATCCTATAAAGCCCACCCTCTCTTAGGGAGAAGGTTTTTTTTTGAGGGGGGGCTGGTTTTTCCAGACAGGGGGGTTTCTCTGTAGCTTTGTAGCCAGTCCTGGAATTAGCTCTTGTGGACCAAGCTGGCCTTGAACTCACAAAGATCCACCTGCCTCTGCCTCCCGAGTGCTGGGATTAAAGGCATGCGCCACCACCACCTGGCTTTAGGGAGAAGTTTTGCCTTAGAGGAAAGCTTTCACGAGATGGCTCATTTAGTCCTGCTGCTCTGTTTGTATTTTCCTTTTTAAATTTCCGTGGCAGGGCCGGGCGGTGGTGGCGCACGCCTTTAATCCCAGCAC